CCTTTGATGTCTTTTCTCCCCCGCCCCCAGGACCGCTCGGATGGGCTGAACGGGACCTCCACCGGCGGCCGCCTCCCTCAGCTCTCGTCCCTCAACCAGGCGGCGGCAGCGGCAGCGGCGGCGGCGGCTTACTCCTCGGCTCCCCCTCTGTGCCACACGCCGGCCTCGGACTTCCAGCCGCCCTACTTCCCGCCGCCTTACCCGCAGCCGCCGCCGCTGCCCTACGCGCAGAGCCAGGAGAGCGCCTACCCGCACCTGGGAGACCCCTATGGCGGCCTCAACCCCATCCACCACCAGCACCACCAGCAGAGCGGCTGGCCCTCGCAGCGGGCGCGCCAGGAAGAAGCGGCGGCGGCGGCGGCGGCGGCGGCAGCGGCAGCGGCGGGCCTCCTGTCGCAGACGCACCGAGCTCTCGGCCTGGATCCGCGCAGGGACTACCCGGGGGTGCCGCGCTTGCTCCACGGCTTGGCCGACGGAGCGCACGCCTTGGCCGACGGGCCGCTGGGACTCCACGCTCTGGCTCACCCCAGCCTCGAGGACATCCAGGTACCGGTGGGCGCCTCCGGCCTCGCCAAACGCGCGCCCGACTGGGGAGGGAAAACGGGGGGCTGGGGCTGCTTCCTTGGAAGAGTTCCTCATCGGCCCAGGCCAGGGGCCTTTTTCTGGGCCGGTCCATGACGGATTCCTTGGGGGATTCCTGGCAATCCAGCCGTTGGCTCCCCCTCCGCCACATGTCGGCAAAGGCGGAAAACCCTGGGGGAGCGCAAGCGGCCTTCGGGACGAGCGCCCGCCGTTCCTGCCCTGGCTGAAAAACCTCTTTTGGGCCTTAAAAAAGAGAGCGAGCGCCAGAGCTAGGATAAACCCCTCCAAGCCCCCGGAGTCGATTTTGATGCAAATCGACCATTCGGTTCCTTCCCCGAATCAAGCAACTCGTCCAACTTCGATCTGTTTCTTTTCACCGGGTAAAGCAAATTAAGAAAAGTAAAACGGCGGTGAATAAACTGGCGTGAGTTTGGGGGGCTAATTTTGGACGCCTGTCTCTGGGCTGAAAGATAAAGTTTGCTTAAAAGTCGGCGAAGCTGACTCTAGAGTAGACAAGAATGTACTACACGGCTCTTCCCCTTCCTTCCTTCCTTCCTTCCTTTCCTTCTTTCTTTCCTTCTTTCTTTCTCTTTCTTTCCTTCCTTCTTTCTTTCTTTACTTCTTTCTTTCTTTCTCTTTCTTTCTTTCCTTCTTTCTTTCTTTCTTTCTTTCCTTCCTTCTTTCTTTCTTTCCTTCTTTCTTTCCTTCTTTCTTTTTTCTTTCCTTCCTTCCTTCCATCTTTCTTTCCTTCCTCCCTTTCCTTCCTTCCTTCCTTCCTTCCTTTCTCTTTCTTTCCTTCCTTCTTTCTTTCTTTCCTTCTTTCTTTCTCTTTCTTTTTCCTTCCTTCCTTCTTTCTTTCCTTCCTTCCTTTCCTTCCTTTCTTCCTTGCCTTCCTTTCGTTCTTTTCTTTCCCAGCGCGTCTGCTTCTTCTTTCCCCCACGCCCTCTTTCTCCCCTCTTTTGGTCTCAAGTTCCAGATCTGCTCTTTCTCTTTTCATGCACGCAAATCTTAACTCGCCAGTTTTCAGGAAACCAGAAGCCCAGGGAAGGAGCCCTGATCCAGGAGCCAGAAGGCAGGGCCAGCCGCTTTCGGCTTTTCGCGCTTCAAAGCTGTTAGAGTTTGATCGCAGACGAAATAGGCCCTTGCTTATCTAACCGCGCTTTCGTTATTTTTGGCTTTCTTGACCCGAGAACGCAAAACCCCGGGCTAAAGTCGATGCCTTTGAATTAGTATTTTATTCTATGGATTTCCTCATATTTACTCCCGTAAATCATTTCCCCAAACTTTTCCTTTCTCTCCAATTAAGCAGCGTTCCGCAGTGACGACAAACTGAGTTGCGATAGAGAGATACGTATTTCCCCCCTACGGGAAATGGCAATTGTAGCCCGAACATTGTCGAGGGGGGGGGGGGGGGGGCGAGCCGAAACGCTGGGGGCAAAGAAAGAAAAGTGGATGCTTACATGCCCGGGTTCTCTTGGGAAGGCAGGAAACTTCTGCCGAAGTCCAAGCCGTTTTCAGTTACACGGACCTCAGCTGAAGTTTTAGTCAAGATCAGAATAAATCCAAGATCCCTCTCTCGCTGAATTCTATGAGAGGAGAGTAGATAGAATAGAATAGAATAGAATAGAATAGAATAGAATAGAATAGAATTCTTTATTGGCCAAATGTGACTGGACACACAAGGAATTTGTCTTGGTGCAAATGCTCTCAGTGTGCATAAAAATGCATTCATCTAGAATCATAAAATACAACACTTAGTGACAGTCATAGGATACTAAATACACAATCAAAACATAGTAGGAAACTAAATAAAACAATATAAATCGTAAACATACAAGCAACGAGGTTATAGTCATAAGTGGGAGGAGATAGGCACCAGGAGGGCTGAGAAGAAGAATAGTAATACAGTCTTAGTAAATAGTTTGACAGTGTTGTGGGAATGGATGATCTCAGCTGCCCTTTTCGTTTTGTTTTAAGTCCTATTTCTATTTAACTCAGTGGGACGTGTGGATCACGCTGGGTTGAATTGTACTTAAATTGCTATCTGATCCTAATAAACTCCCAACAATTCCCAGTGGGACTTGTTTCTCAGTGCAGGGGTTTTGTATAGTTTTTATTGCTTGGCATTTTTAAAATCTGTCTGTCTGTCTGTCTGTCTGTCTGTCTGTCTATCTATCTATCATCTCCCTCCCTCCCTCCATAGATCTCTCAATCCATTGATAGATGCTTAGATAATTCTATATAATTTCGGGTGTTCTGTAATTTCTATAATTCTAGCGTTACAATGATTTCGAATGTAATTGTCTAAAACCGAGAGAGACCTTCCATCTGTCCTTCCTTTCAATCTTTTTCTTCCTCGCTCTGATCCCGTCTCTGCAATTTTAGGGTTTTATTTGGCTCCTCCGAATAAGCGCGTCTCGCTGGATTTTTTCCTTCCCTGAGAGAAAGGACGCAACAACGCACTCTGTCCTGTCGATAAACCCAAAGCCCTTCTGGGGAATAAAACTCATAAATTTCTTCTAGCAAATAAACCGCTGGTGTTGGTTTGTCTTTGCATTTTTTGAGCAGCTGCATGCTTCCCTTCCCAGCTCCCTGGAACAATTTCCCCAAAGGCAAAAAAAATTAACTTGAAAATATGGCTGGTTGCAGGGAATACTGTTTATTCAAATGAGAAAGCAATTAGTCCACTTAAGAATCCCTTTTGATTTTGGTTTTTGGGACCTGTGAGAAAACTAAAAAGAAAAAGAAAAAAAGAAGAAGCTAGCTAGGAAAGGGGGCGGGAGGAGAAAGAAAACTTCCCGTTGCGATTTGTTTTCTGCAACAAACTAAACATGGAAGTTTCAATGAGCTTCTCTATGTAATTCTAATCATAATAAATTCTACTGAAATCTGTGACTGTAATAAAAATTCTACTCTAATTCAAGGAACGGTGCTGGATTATTATTATTTTTTTTTAAAAAAAAACTCGTCGGGGACTTCATTCGCCCCCCCCCCCCCCCCCACACCAAAAAAAAAACCATACATAGTTTTTTCGCCCATTCTTCTTAAAATTGGGGTATTGGGTTCTCCCCCTCAGACTAACTTGTCTTAAAAATTACAATCCTGTTTTTGCAAAGTGTCCAGGACTAAATAAATCCTCTTTCAATCGGCAGGACTTCAGTATTCCTAAAAGGTGAAATTGCAAGATCGGTTCCCAGTGGCTTCCATGCTATGGTTAAACAGATGGAGGAATCTTTTTTCCTTTGGGGAATGAAGGAAGCTTAAAAACGCCTTTAGTTGAATTATGCCTGGTACCTTCAAGGAGCAATTTTGAAATCTGTCAAGGGCTTCATTTCCCCTCAGAAGCTTTAGATGTTTGTTTGTTGTTTGTAGTAACAATTAGAAGAGGCCAGGTTGTCTCTTCCTTTCTATAAAATATAGATTGGATTTTTGTAACAAGTCCGTTAAAAAAAAATAGAGAAAAATTTAAAAAATAAGAAAATTATCCTTTCTTTCTCTTTCTTTTCTTTCTTTTCTTTCTTTCCTTCTTCAGCCATGTGGTTTAGGTGATGTTTCGGCTGAGATCAGAGAATGGGCCGATTCAGTCACTGACTTCTGTGACTCTCTCTCTTCCTCCTCAAAATATCTATTGCGCAGTGCCAAATTATTTGGAAGTTCATTGAGAAATGGAAGAGGACAAAATAGTTTTTGTTTTCTTTCACTTTTCCAGGAGGAAAAAGAAAACCTCACTGGGGAAGCCCCAGGGTTGAGGAAGTTGGGTATGTTAATTAAAAAAAATAAAACAACTTTCTCTTCTTCTAAAAAAAAAAAAAACCTCTTTAAAAAAACCCACCTTTGAGGATATAGGCTAAAACACCATAACCAGCTCTGGTTTACTTTCATTTTTAGCAGCACTTGAGATGTCTGGAGGGCGTAAAGCACTTCAGATAGATTAATCTCATAATCCTCACCAGAACTCTCTGCATGGAGCTGAACAATTATCTATTCTTGCAGGCGGTGGATGAGGCCAGTATGAACCTTTTGGACCAGTCGGTGATCAAGAAAGGTAAGGGAACGTCCATGGTTTGGAGCATTTGGTACTGGGGACCAGCTTAAAGTTTGAAATCTGAAAGTCTGAAGGTTTTGTACGAGAGAAACCCAGCTCGGCTTCTGAGCCCTGATACCCGGATATTTTGCATTTCTTCCCTTTCCACGTTCTGAACTAAGTTACTGGTTTTGGAGAAAGGCAGATGTGCAAAGCTAATGAACGTGAGAACAGTCAAGACCGAATCGATACATCTTGTGCAGCACCTTGCACCTTGTGCCAGCATCCTTGTCAGATAGGAGGTATCAGTTCTTGGAAACTGCTGATATTTTCAGGGACTTCATCTTGGCTTCCCTGCTTTAGCCAAGTGGACGGAGCCAAAACTCCATTTTGCCATCTCTTTGAAGCTGAGTCTGTCTAAAATCAAAGGCTGAGTTCATGAGTCATATTAAGTATAATTTAGCTTGGCTTGAATTTAGCGTGTTGTGTAAAACTTGTAAGTCATGGTTTACATCTTAATATCACACAAAGGCTTATTTGAGAACCACAGTTAAATAAAGGTAACTTCAGGCAGTGTGTGGACTCAGTTATGACAAGTCCTTGACCCATCAGTTAAAAATCAGTTCAGGATTTCACTGCCCAGGGCCACCCAAAAACATTGGACTACACTTCCCGCTGCCGCAGCTAACTTGGCAAGGGAGGATGGACTCTGCCACCCCAAACTTTGGGGGGTGGCATCCGATTGCTTCCTTCCTTTTGGCTGTCAGATCAAATGTATGATTTTTCTAAGACTCTGGGGTGAATGTTATTTGTTTTCTTGTAATATGGAGATAATTTGTCTGGGAGCAAAGCCCACTGAATAGTTTCCAGAAAATCAGGCAGAACAAGAAGGAGGGAGAAGGGTGGGAGGAGAGGAAAAATGGGACTGGAAAGAACTAGGAAGAAACGAGAGCACCAGAAGTTTGTGAATCTCACCAAGCTCTGCTGTTATTTCTTTGGGGGAGGTGTGTTATTTCTTGTTGCGTTAGATTGATGTCCTGCCTTTTCTCCAGAAGCTCAAAGCAGCTTAGATGGGATTGAATCTCCCTTCATTTTCTCCCCACACCCTGTAAAATAGGGTGAGTTGAGCCAACTGGGCATGGAATCGACCTTGTCTTTCTTCATCCAACCTTTTAACCACTACCCCAAAGTGGGTTGGGCATTTGCTTTTCGAAAGTTGCCTGCAGTTCTTAAAAGGTCTTGAGATAAACAGTCCAGTTGCTACTCACCAGGAACATCTCACCAGTGAGTGGCTGGGGTGAAAGAATGTGACCTCCGGCCCTGTGGTCATGCCAACTTGGAAGCTTCCTACTCCAAGAACACCTCAGCCTCATGCCAGAATTACTTTGTGATTTCTGCTATTTCCAGGAAACTCAACCAGGAGGGATAATGGAATATTGCTTTATCTGTGGTTTAAATCTCTGGAGGCAAACAACACTCCCTCCTCTTCCCCTCTAGGTTCACCCAAATATTTTTGCATTTGTAAATTCCAAGACCAACATTCCTGTATGGGGGATAATGTATAAAAATGCACAGAAGTTAGTAGAATGCGATGGCATTCAGTTTTCCTGACAATTAAGAACAATTAGTCAGCAGAACCGGGTTGCCTTCAGAAGTTCTGGAACTGGAGGTTTCTAAGAAGAGTTTGGAGAGCTATTTGTCCAGAATGATGTAAGGTCTCTTGCTTGAGCAGGGGGTTGGACTAGAACACCTCCAAGGTCCCTTCTAACTATCCTATCTTATCCTATCCTATCCTATCAAATCCATCATCACATTTGGCATTGGAGTGATGTGAGTCAGCAGTGCATATCAATAAGTTATGGGTGGCACCAAGGGAAAATCAAAACTAGATTTCATTTACATGCAGTTCAAGGCAGCAGTACTATTGTTATTTTTCATTGTGGTATTGAGTGGCATTATGGAGCCCCTGAGATTTGATTCCAGGAGAGTCCTTTGGCCCATGAATATAGCTGCCAGCTGCTGATTTTCTGTTGAGGGTGAGACAGCTGCAATACTGGAGAAAGATGCAGCGGCTTTAAAGAGTTACAGACGGTGTTGCATTCACACTCCTGAAGCATCTTTTGGAATCCCTATTTGAAGCACTGCAGAGTCTCCACATTTAATAAGCTTCCTGTTTTCTCATTGAAAAAAAAAACATTTGGTATCAGTTTTCAGAGTTTTGTGGTCATTCCCAACGAGGGAATCAGGCTGTGCTTTTCTGTTTGGAAAAATGTGGCGGGAACAACCCTTCTTGTCCCATTCAGCATCTTTTAAAAAGTTATGCTGATGTTTAAGTCTCCCAGTGAGGTTTTGAGTATGCTGTCACTATAGTGGGCATATCTTCAGTTACTTTTACACAAACACCATCGTTGCTGTGTGGGTAGGAGTGTTTGTGTGTGTGTGTGTGTGTGAGAGAGAGAGAGAGAGAGAGGGAGAGTTTGTAAGTAGCATTACATAAAATAAAGAGTGAACATTAAGTACAATTAAGTACATTAAGTAAATAAAAATTAAATTCTTGCTTTAAAAAAAAGACAAAAATCTTGGTTTGTGAGAAATGGCAGCTGCCCAGTTTGGGTCCACGCGCAAGCCTCAGTCGTTTCAATTGCCACATTAATCAACCACAGCCCAGGCTGATTAGAGCCCTTTATAATAGGATGCACCAGGAGCCAGCTTTGCGGTCTTTGTTTTGCTGTGAACAAAACCCAAAACATTCAAGAAGGACTTTCAATTGAATGAAAATCGGGAGCAAAGTGTATGTGTGTTGCTAAATTCATTCTCATACATAGAATTTAACTATATTTTTCAAAAATGATTTTATGCTTTCAGATGACTGTCCAGCTGCAGTTATGTGACTCTGGGCAGTGACAAAAACAAAACAACAAGAAAGCAAAACAAAACAACAAACATCAAAATAAAAAGAAAGTTACAATTAATGCCCATGTATTTGTTTCTTTGTTTGTTTCAAACACTTTAAGCCAGTGTTTCTCCATCTTGGCAACTATATGGACTTCAATTCCCAGATTTTTTCACCCAGCCATTCTTCATGAAGACACATGGTGTCCTGCCCTTTTATAAATGCTTTAATCCCACAGTTGCAGCCACCATCTTCATATTTTGAACTCACCTTTCCTTCACCTGGACACCTCTGTCCTGCATTTTGGCTTTCTTATCTGTCATGTCATCTGTCATGCTGTCCTACAAATTTTTTGTTTTTGTCTGTTGGCCTTTTGGGATAAACCAGATAGAAATCACAACCAGATGAGCTAATTCAACTTTATTGACGGACTCTTGCAAATATGAAAGTACAATTCTCCCATTGTTTACAGCTTGAGAAACTAGAGAGGGTCTCTTCTGAACCTTTTACCCCTAGCCAGCTGTGGGCAATCTTATCTCTTAACTGGTTGTTCCTTTGGCAGCATCTCTTTGGCTAGTCTCCTAAGGCAGCATTACAAATACAATGGACTTCCATGGCCTGTAGCTCTATCCAGAAGCCCACCACCCCTGTCTATCTCCTTGTTGGACTCCTGTGGCTGAAAATTAGTTTTTAGGGGAGAGGAAAGAGGCACAAACAGCGTGGTCCAAGACACCATGTTCTCATCATGACCTCAGATCCTGATAGGTTCCCCTGAAGTCTGACTCCAGTTAAATCCCATGTTAAATCCGACAGAACATCCGGATTCAGTCACAGTTTTATTCCATATAACATCATCTCTCTTAGGATTTCAGTCAAATGAGGATCCTGTCTACAATTTGGCAGTGCTTTACACCAGGGGTCTCCAACCTTGGCAACTTTAAGCCTGGAGGACTTCAACTCCCAGAATTCCCCAGCCAGCTGGCTGGGGAATTCTGGGAGTTGAAGTCCTCC